ATCCTTTTTTCTGATGAAGGGTCTAGGCCCGAAATGTCAGCCTTTCTGCTCCTGTGATGCTGCTTGGCCTGCTGTGTTCATCCAGCCCTGCACCTTGTTGTCTCGGATTCTCCAGCATCTGCAGTTCCTACTATCTCTGATTCAATTTATCAGCCATGTCATGTGCTAATTTAATTACTGCCGTTGCCTGATCTGGAGTTCCCACTGTACTACCCCTGAACTATATAAGGAAATGTTTGCAGATAATGCTGGAGAAACTCAGCAGGTCTGGCTGTATCTGTCGACAGAGGTAACGTTTCAGGTCCAGTGACAGTTTTTCAGAACAATTCTTTATGTCTTATTTCCAGTACATCTGCTCTGGTACATATGCAGGGTATTCGGGATAAATTTTCTATACAGAGCTTCAACACTCCTGGTAGCAAATGTCGTGTATTTTGCAGGTTGTTTTATTTACCACAGTTTCTCGCCTAGTTTCCTTAGTGAGACTACAATGGAGTGGACTTCGGATATTCCTCAGCATTGCCATGGTGATGAGCGATCTCCTGGAGCCTGGCACAGTGTGAGGCCGAGACTTGAATAGAGATATATCCTTTGGGCATTCTCTGAGAATGACAGTGGGGGAGAATGATAGCAGTAATGTAAGAGGAAATGTGAAGGCAAAAGATTTGCAATATTTCAGGACAACCCAAAGTGCCTTACAACCAATAAGGGACTGTTGTTACAAAAGGAACACAGCAGCTAATTTGGGCATAGCAAGTTTGCACAAACAGCAATATGATATTAAGCAGAGATGGTAGGAACTGCCGATGCTAGAGTCTGAATCATCATAGAATCATAGAATCCCTATAGTGTGGAAACAGGCCCTTTGGCCCAACAAATCCACACCGATCTGACTAACAAGGTGTAGAGCTGGATGAACACAGCAGGCCAAGCAGCATCAGAGGAGCAGGAAAGGTCCAGACCCGAAATATCAGCTTTCCTGCTCCTCTGATGCTGCCTGGTCTGCTGTGTTCATCCAGCTCTACACCTTGTTATCTATGATATTAAGCAGATTGTCTGATTTAATTGTGTTGACTCAGGGATACGTAGTGACCATGACACCAAAATTTGATTTGATTGGATTTATTATTATCACTTATACCGAAGTACAGTGAACGGTTTTGTTTTGCACGCAGTACAAGCGGATCATACCATACAAAGTGCATTAGAGTAATAGAGCAGAGCGAGGAATACAATGTTACGGCTGAAGAGAAGGTGCACAGAGAGCAAGATGAACATTAAGTTTAAAATCCGTTCAGAAGCCTAATAACAGCAGGGAAGAAGCTGTTCTTAAATCATTTGCTCTTTTACTGTGGAATCTTAGATGTCCACTTGAGATGATCTCTTGAAACATCATTGTGAATAAGGCTATTGGCCAAGTGCTGGAAAATGAGATTAGAATAGATGAATGTTTGATCATAAGCTTAGAGACAATGGGCCGAAAGGTCTCTTTCTGTGCTCTTTTTCTGAATCTCTATGACAGCTGAACTAGTGATTAAGCTCATTTTTTTAGTGTCTTGCTTGAACAACCGGAACACTTCACTAGAACATTAGACTGGAATAAGTGCTTAAATTTCAGAAGCAGGGCCAGTACAATTGACATTCTGACTCCCGAGTGTTCACTGACCCACCAATAGTTATCTTAGTCCATTGTTGGTACTTATGAACCTGTTCGTAGTCACTCCAGACCCCAGTGGATGCTGGAGGTAGAAGCAGTTTCTTTTTCTTCCTTGGAAATACTTGAAACTTTTTGTTCAAAAGGGTAAATTTCTAAGAATCACAAAAGGTTGCAAACCATAAATAAGCCATTCGGCCCATCAGATTTGTGATGGACCTTCTTTTCATGCTGAGGCACGAAGCAAGCATTTGTCCTTCTTGGGCCCCAATAGATTTTACTAATATCCATCTATTTCATGCAGCAAACTAATCCCCTCTCAGCACTTTCTTTCTCAGAACACATTATAAAATTGAGAAGCAGCATCTAGCCCACAGTGTGAGGCCCTTTCGTCATTAATTGGATCAGCAGTCTTCAGTCCCCGCAAGTGCTTTAGTTCCATGAGATTTGGAATTGACAGAGCTGGAACCTCTCAGAATGTTTGCTCCTAGTTGATTGGGGGATGCTTTTGCTTATTATTTGACATGGGCCTGATAAACATCTTGGGTCATGCCCCTTCTCAGTCCTCTCAGCAAGCCCAGCTATCCAGAATATTCTAACATCTTGGGCAGTCTTTTGTCCTATTAAATGCTACTCTGCCTGATGTTACCTTGTACAAAAAAAAATGAAGAGAAAACATAAATAACTTTCCTTTTATGCATCTTTGTTATCCCTGGGGTAGCACATTGGAAATCAAGCCTTGTAGTCACCACAAAAATTAAAGATCATTTTAAATGTACACCAGCATTCCTCAATTTCACTCAGCATGAACAGGTTTCAGTGCTTAATGAGAATTACTATTATAGGGAATTAAACATTAGCTACAGGTAAACAGCTCTGAACCACTGGCGTATAACCTTTGTGATTAAAATTTCAATCCCCTTCAAAACTTGCCCTTACACACACACACACCAACACGGAGAAAAAAACACACACACACACACACACACACACACAGGAAAAATACATGGACAGAGGTAAAACTGGGAAAGGCAGTCCAATAGTCTTTGTTCACAAGATTTATTGAATTGGTTCTAGCTGATCAGATGGTTTCATCTCACCATTCCTTTTCTCGAAGCTTCCACTGGTTTGCAGGAAGCGCAGGATGGCTGGTTCACTGATAAAAGATCTCTGACTTACCAGTTAGAAACACCTGCTGAAGGAAAGATAAAGTGGCTTACTGCAGAGAATGGAGCTGGAGCCCATGAGCTGGTACAGACGTGATGGTTTCTCTCTATCCCAAGCTGTTCACATGGCTGTTGGCAGGCAGAAGACCTTTGCCATTAATAACTGGTCACTAGTCCTCAAACCTATCAGCTTCTTGTTGCCAACCAAAGCTCCATCTGTGTACAACCCCATGGTTCCAGTTAATCTGCAAATCTTGCTTTAACACAGCTGTACAAACAGTATTCACAATGAGGAGCAATTGCTTTCAAACCATGCAGCTGCCAGGATAGTGGAGGCTTTTAAAATATTTCTTTCCTCATTTAATTAAAAATAATTTAAAAAACACAGGAAAATAAAAGGACATGGCTTACATCCTCATTTTCTGTTGAAATCTGTATTGGTAGTGGTATACTTGTTCAGGTTGGTCACTGAGTTCTGAATATGGACCAATCCACCAACTCTAAGCAGTCCCATAGAAGCTCCTGCTTTACCTCACACCATCACTGCACTACTTTCTCTGCTGTGTCCTCATGCTTTAATTTCTGCTTGTAAGCCAGGAGGGGAAGGCAGCTTTGTGATCTAATTTTCCAAAGTGATGGCAGTGCTAGGGACAAATCAGATCCCCTCATGGGAAATGATAACATGCTATTAGCTTTCCCAGATGGGGAATGGAACGACAGACATCTTTGGTTGTGTAGCAATTGTCAAGGATGTTTGGACCTCTGGTGGGACAGGAGACATGTTGATGGTATTTTGGGAGCACGTTATTGAGGTTGGCCTGTTTGAAGTCACCGGCTAGGATGAGCAAGGCCTCAGGGTATTCTGTCTCAAGACTGTTTGTGGCATTGTATACTTCATCAAGTGCACTCTTCACTTCTGCTTGGGGAGGGATGTAGACCGCTGCCAGGATAGCGAAGGTGAATCTGTGTGGTATGTAGTAGGGATGGCACTTCATTGTTACATAGTCTAGGTCCGGGAAGCAGTATCTCACCAGGGTCGCCATGTCTGAGCACCAGGTAGTGTCGATTAGGTGGCAGGCCCCAATGCCCCTTGCCTTACCCGAGGTCTGTTCAGTGAACTGAGAAACCCTCAGGTTGTAAGGCACAGTCAGGTGTAGCAGGAGTGAGTCATGTCTCTGTCTCTCAGTTCCCTTTGGAAGCTGCGTCTAGCTTTGAGGTCATCCATTTTGTTGTCAGTGGCTTGAACAATTGCCAGGAGTATGCTGGGTAGGGGGATCTTGAAATCCCGAAGCTTCAGTCCCACCTGAGATCCAGGGCATCTCCTAGGTAGGTGGCTGCTCTGAGTTGGTCCCAGGCGTCGGTGAGGGAAGTCTGCTGTGCCGAGAGGTAAGTGCGTGCTCTCGATGGGATCCTGGGAACCAGTCATGGCCTTGAGTGTTCCAGGAGGTCTTGGGGCTGTTTTACTCGGGCCTCCTTGATGGCCAGTCATTGTGGGGTCAGGTCTTGTTGCTGCACTGGTTGGGCCTTGGTTCCACGTTTCCATGAGGAGGCCAGGCCTGTGGGAAGCCTGTAGGCCCTAATCCCTCTGGATTTGCTGTTCCAGCATCGGTAATCTGGCCTCGTCAGGCAGAGAGTCTTTAAACCTGAAAGTAGATTTAGGAGAACGTTGTTAGTGATTCTGATGGACTTGGAATTGAGGTTTAGAAGAGCAGAACAATTATAAAACATGTAAGAATATGATCTGCTGTAGGCAGCTTGCAAAATGTTACCATATTCCTGCACCATCTTAAAACAAGGAAGTGCTGGCAGTGCTAGTGACAGATCAGATCCCCTCATGGGAAATGATAACATTCTATTCGCTTTCCTAGTTCCTTGTTATACCTGCAGACTGACCTTCTGTGAGTCATGCATTAGGATACCCAGATCCCTCTGCATCTAAGAACTCTGCAGTCTCTCACCGTATAGATAATGTGGTTGTTTTTAATTCCTCCTGACAAAATAGACAGTTTTGGATTTTCCACAGATGATTTGCCATGCCTTTGCCCATAGTTCAGTTGGGTGCGTGGCTGAGTTTGTGATGTCATTGGTGCAGGTTCGATTCTCACATTGGCTGAGGTTACCATGAATGTCCCTTCCTTCTCACCCTCTTCTCTTGCCTGAGGTTAAACCACTGCCTGTTGTCTCCGTAATGAGAGAGTGAGACTGTCCTGACTTTACCTTTTTCAAATATATGTTTTCAACTTTAGCCAAACGCGAGGTCCCAAAGGACCAGAGACTAGCCAGTGTTGTTCCCTTTATTAAAGAAGGTCAACAGGAGTAATCCAGGAAACTAGAGGCCCACGAGTTTTCCATCAGTGGTAGGGAAATTATTGGAGAAGATTCTTAGGGACGGGATTTACTTGCATTTGGAAAAGAATGGACTTATTAGGAATAGTCAGCATGGCTGTGTGCGGGGGAGGTCTTGTCTCACAAATTTGGTTGAGTTTTTTGAGGAAGTGACAAAGATGATTGACGAGGGTAGGGAGTAGATGTTGTTTGCATGGACTTGACTAAAGCATTTGACAAGCTCCCTCAGGGTAGGCTGGTCCAGAAAATTACGTCACATGGAATCCACAGTGAGTTCATAAGTTGGATACAAAATTGGCTTGGTCATAGAAAACAGAGGGTAGTTGTGGAGAGGTATTTCTCTGACTGGAGGTCTGTGGTGAGTGGTGTTCCACAAGGATCAATGCTGGGACCTCTGTTGTATGTAATATATATCAATGATTTGGATGAAAATGTAGGTAATCTGATTAATGTGCTTGCAGATGACACGGAAATTGGTGGAATTGTGGATATTGAGGAAGGTTGTCAAAAGATACAACAGGATATAGATTAGTTGGAAAGTTGGGCGGAGAAATGGCAGATGGAGTTTAATCAGTAGAAGTGTGAGGTGATGTATTTTGAGAGGTCAAATGCAAGAGGAAAGTATAGAGTAAATGGCTGGACCTTAGGAGCTTTGATACACAGAGGAATCTTGGGGTGCAAGTCCATAGCTCCCTGACAGTAAGGAGCAAGGCAAGCGGATAAGGTGGTAAAGAAGATGTAAGGCATGCTTGTCTTCATCAGTCGGGGACACTGAGTATAAAAGTTGGCAAGTCATGTTGCAACTTTAGTTAGGGCACATTTGAAGTATTTTGTTCAGTTGTGGTCACTACAGTACAGGAAGGATGTTGGAGGCTGTGGAGAGGGCGCAAAAGAGGTTTACCAGGCTGTTGCTTGGATTGGAGTGTATTAACTATAAGGAGGGGTTGGATAAACTTGGACTGTTTCTGCTAGAGCATCAGAGGCTGCGGGGTGACCTGATAGAAGTGTATAAAATTATGATAGGCATGGACAGGGTGGACAGTCGGAGGCTTTTTTCCAGGGTGGAAATATTAAATAATAGGGGCCATAGGTTTAAGGTGAGGGGGATGGTTGCGGGGGGAGCGCGGGGTGCAGGAAGAGAGAGAGTTTAAAGGAGATATGTGAGGCACGTTTTTCTTCCACAGAGGGTGGTAGGTGCCTGGAATGTGCTGCTGGGGAGATGGTAGAAACAGATACGATACCAACGTTTAAGAGACATTTGGACAGACGCGTGAACAGGCAGGGAATTGAGGAATACGGATCATGTGCAGGCAGATGGAATTAGTGGCATCATGGTTGGCACAGACACAATGAGGTGAAGAACCTGTTCCTGTGCTGTACTGTTGTATGTTCTAAAAAGAACTTACAATCCCATGTTAAACAAATGTCCCAGTGTTGGCCTTACTTAGTTCCTGCAGTACAGACATCCGTCCAGGGTTTCCCATTTCTCACTGATTGTGCAGTCTAGGTTGTCTCGTTGTTACTATCACTCACTTCCTGGCCTGGACTGTTCTCCTGGTTTCATTCTTTATCCTGTCCATCTGTGAATCTTCTGTTCTGCTTTTTCATGCTGGCGTTTTATCTTACTGTAAGTCATTTTACCCTTACAGAGAGATAGGTTTGAATAAATGTTTGGGAGGACGAGAAAGGGGGAAGGTATTTTAGAGTTTAAGACTTCAGCAACCAAAGGCACTTCCACCAACCCTGTACCCATTAAAAGTGCCAGGAGGCATTGAATAAAAGTGCAGATATGTCGGACGGATGTGGTGCTGGAGGAGGTGAAAGAGATGGAGAAGGGCAAGTCACAGGGGTTTTTAGAAAGTAAATGCATTTAGGCGTTGCTTAACTGGAACCCTTTGTAGGTCAGTGGACAGAAGGCAAGACACTTCAGTATGTTTAGTTAAAATGCTCCTTGCCTTGTTCACTGATGCTGCAGAACCTGTGTAGAGCTCGCTGCACTGGAGAGAATGGAGAAGATTTCTCTGCTGAACGAGCCTGGGTAATGTTCGTGGGAGGTATCCGTGAGATCAGCACAGCAAGCTGTCCCTTCGCCATTGAGGGCAAAGTCTGAGCCAGTACATTTTTAAGCGTGTCCATTCTGAGACACTTCCATGAGGTGTTTATGAAAAATTGTGGCACCTTTGGAAAGAAATTGTGAACCAATCTGTTTTTGTCCTCAGGGATACATAACAAATAGGAGCAGGAGTAGGCCATTCAGCTCCTTGAGCCTGGTCCCCATTCAATATAAGGTTGTCTGTTCATTCAACTCAGTCCCCTGTTCCTGCTTTCTCCCCTTTCATCCTTTTAGCCTTAAGAACTATATCTAACCCCTCCTTGAAAATGTTCAAGGTTTTGGCCTTGACTATTTTCCAAGGCACAGAACTCAACAGGCTCACCAATCTCTGGTCACTCCCTGATCCATAAGGAGTTTCTAATAATGTAAGTGAAAGACATTCTCACCATTTGGTTCCTGTTTGCTTGGAGGTTGTCTGTCAGTCGAGGATAAATGCACTGTGCTGATATCAGTCTGTCCGTCCCCCCTCAGCAGTGATCGACTGATTCCCGGGACAACAGGACTGACATGTGAAGTAAGATTGGATCAACTGGGCTTGTGCTCCCTGGAATTTAACAGAATTGGGTGGGGGGGCAGGGTGCGAAATCTTATGGAAACATCAAATCCTGATGGGACTGGACAGGCTAGATGTGGGGAGAATGTTCCTGATAAACGAGGCGTCTCAGTCTAAGAATAAGGGGTAAGTCATTCAGGTCTGAGATGAGGAAGAATTTCTTCACACAGAGTTGTGAACCTGTGGAATTCTCTCCCACAGGAAGCTGCTGGGGCCAGTTCATTAGATACATATAAGAGGAAGCTGGACGTGGCCCTAGTGGCTGAAGGGATCAAGGAGAATGCAGAGAAAGTGGGAGTGAGATACTGAGATGATCATATTGAATGGTGTGCAGTCTCGAAGGGCTGAATGGCCTAATCTTGCTCCTATTTTGTATATTTCTGTGTTTCTACACGCAGACCAAGGTCTCCAGTCTCCATCACAACTTCCCTCGCTGCAAGGGGAAGGAAACTAGTTTTCGCATGATAATGTTCAGATTTTGGTAAAGGTTGGGAATTAAAAGTGCTTCTTTAAAGAAACAGGTCAACTTGTTAAAATGTGGGTATTATGACAAAGTTTACAAAGGCTGCTCCTCCCTACAGAATCTTATCAGCTGTGAACTTGAAGAGACTTCACCGATGTGATTTAGTGTCTGTCCCATCTCAGTGGGTATTGAGCCAAAAGGTTGTGGGTTCAAATCCCATTGCAGACATTAATGCATAGACACTGCAGCTGAAGCTCCCAGGGGTACAGAGAGAATGCAGCACTGTTGGAGGTGCTGTCTTTCAGGTGAAACATTACCCTGAGGGTCTGTCTGCTCTCTCAAGTAGGTGTGAACAATCCAGTAACTCTAGGTTGGAGAAGGGGAGTTTGCCTAGTGTCATGGTCAATATTAATCCCTCAGTTAACACATTAAAACAGGTAACCTGGTCATTATCATCCTGCAGGTTGAGGGAGCATGCTATACAAAATGACCATTGCATTTCCTACATTCCAACAGTGACTACACTTCAAAAGTGCTTCTTGAGCTGCAGAGTGCTTTGGGAAGTCCGAAAGGCACTACTTAAATGCAATCCATTTTGTTTTTGTCATGTGAGATGGTGTGGAGATCACAGATGTGACGATAGAATCAATGTGTGATATTGTGTTTTGTAGTACTGCTGTTGTGTGGATGTGTTGAGAATTGAATACAGATTTACAAGCGTAATCCTGTGCAAGGAATAACAAGCACCGCATTGATTCTGAACTCTTTCTAAAGGGATCAAAAGTGACAAGGCCAGCAATAGGGAACAGTTTTTCTGAGTGTTATTAGTAGCAACAAGAGATTAACTTGCCAAAATCTGATTTAAACAAAGGGGTATCATTTAAAGTGAAAGGTAGTATGGTCAGAGGGAATTTGAGGCAATTAAATCTTCCCCCAGAGGTTGGGGAGGCGTTCTGGAATATGCTTCTTGGGAGGGAAGTTGAGGAGGGAAACCTTGCAATCTTTAAAAAGTATTTGGATGAGCCCTTGAAATGTCATAACGTTCAAGGTTATGGACCTAGTGCTGGGAAAGTGGGACTAGTATATTTTTGGCAGTACAGACACAAGGGCCAAAGGGCCTGTTCTGTACTGTATGATTCTATGAAATAGTTGTACCAAAACTAACAATAGTGCTTTTAATGCTTTGCACATGAGCATTATATAAAAAAAAGACATTAAGTAAGGAGATATTAAGACAAATGAGCAAAACTGTTGTCCAAGAGAGAAGTTCGAAGAAACATCTGAAAGGAAGAAAGGTAAAGAGTGAGACTTAGGGAGGGGGTTCCAGAGCTTGGGGCTCGGGCAGCTGAAGGTACACTCACCAATATCAAAACAGATAAAGTTAGGGACGTGCGCGAGGCCAGAATTAGATGGACACAGTTATCTTGCAGAGCTGTAAAACTGGAAGAGATTCCAGACATAAGGAGCGATGAGGCAATTGAGGTAAACAGCGATGTAGATTTTAAACTCAAGGTTGTTGCTTTACTGGGTTCGCTTTTTAAGGTGAGAGGTGGTGGGTGAGCGGGATTGGGTATCAGTAAAGGATACCAGCAGCAGATTACAAAATTGTACAGTGTTGGAGACCAGTCAGGAGCATTACAAAGTCATCAAATTTCGAGTTGAGCTGATGCGGGAGTGAAGATAGCTGATGTGTAGTGGAACATTTCCCACTTGCCTGGATGAGTGCAGCTCCAACAACACTCAGGAAACTCAATACTGTCAAGGTCATAACAACCTGGTGAATT